AAGATAGAGGATACAAAAGAAATAGAGGGAAAATAAAGTTCAAAATAGTTATATGTGAAAAGAAATGACTTAAAAATGGTCAGCATTTCATTTTCTTATATAACTGTGTGCAAAATGGCATGGCCAATTCCCAGAGCACATATGTTACTTGCAACATTCCATTTTTCCTATGAACTAAATTGGAGCATTTGGAAGATGGTTCAACTATTTCAAATGGGAAATTTAGGAACTAGGTTTAATGTTGTCAAGTGCAAAGTCTGGCCCTGAAACAGAACAGGAATATTGCAAAATGCTTCCTGATTTAGAACACTCTGTTCTGGAAACAGATGAACCACCTTGGGTTGCTTGGCCAGTCTAGAACTGGACCAACCTGTTTTCTACATCAACTTGCCAACTTTAGATGAATTATAGAAAACTAAAAAAAAGTAGTAATTAGATGAGGTCAGGACAGACAACAAAATAGCAACAAGTATATGAGGAGGCAATAGCAAATGACTATACTTTTTCTAAGAAAACTGCATCAAGATAATCATTAAAAAAACACCAGGACCTGTTCATCTTGAAAATAATCTCTTTTATTCTGCCATTTAAATTACAATATTAAATGAATAAATGTCCTTTATTGTACTTCTGTGTGAAACCTGTAGATGCCCTGGGGATTATACTCTATGTAAAAGAAAGGTTGGTCTGTTTGTTTTCTAGGCATATAGATCACAGGGTTTTAATGTATTACAGTTGATGGCACAATTCAGTACAAGAATTAATGGCAAACTGTGAAAATCCATATTTACTCCAACTTAGAAAATCACATACAATCACATATAACACAGTACAAATAAATACAATTACATCTTTCACTTCCCTATATACATGTACTGTATATTCCTTACATGTAAGGAAATACAGGTGAAACTCAAAAAATTATAATATCATGCAAAAGTTCATTTATTTCAGTAATGCAACTTAAAAGGTGAAACTAATATATGGGATAGACTCATTACATGCAAAGCAACTTAGTTCAAGCTGTGATTTGTCATAATTGTGATGATTATGGCTTACAGCTCATGAAAACCCCAAATTCACAATCTCAGAAAATTAAAATATTGTGAAAAGGTTCAATATTCTAGGATCAAAGTGTCCCACTCTAATCAGCTAATTAAGCCATAACCTGCAAAGGGTTCCTGAACCTTTAAATAGTCTCTCAGTCTGGTTCAGTAGGAATCACAATCATGGGAAAGACTGCTGATCTGACAGTTGTGGAGGAAACCATCAATGACACCCTCCATGAGGAGGGAAAGCCTCAAAAGGTAAGTGCAAAAGAAGTTGGATGTTCCCAAAGTGCTATATCAAAGCACATTAACAGAAAGTTATGTGGAAGGGAAAAGTGAGGAAGAAAAAGGTGCACAAGCAGCAGGGATGACCGCAGCCTGGAGAATATTGTCAGGAAAAGGCCATTTAAAAGTGTTGGGGACTTTCACAAGGAGTGGACTGAGGCTGGAGTCAGTGCATCAAGAGCCACCACACACAGACGGATCCTGGACGTGGGCTTCAAATGTCGTATTCCTCTTGTCAAGCTGCTCCTGAACAACAAATGTCAGAAGCATCTTACCTGGGCTGAAGAAAAACAGAATTGGTCTGTTGCTCAGTGGTCCAAAGTCCTCTTTTCTGATGAAAGCAACTTTTGCATCTCATTTGGAAACCAAGGACCCAGAGTCTGGAGGAAGAATGGAGAGGCACACACTGCAAGATGCTTGAAGTCCAGTGTGAAGTTTCCACAGTCTGTGTTGATTTGGGGAGCCATGTCATCTGCTGGTGTTGGAACACTGTGCTTCATTAAGTCCAGTATCAACACAGCCGTCTACCAAGAGATTTTGGAGCACTTCATGCTTCCTTCTGCAGATGAGCTTTATGGGGATGCTGCCTTCATTTTCCAGCAGGACTTGGCACCTGCCCACACTGCCAAAAGCACCAAAACCTGGTTCAATGACCGTGGGATTACTGTGCTAGATTGGCCAGCAAACTCACTTGACCTGAACTCCATAGAGAATCTATGGGGCATTGCCAAGAGAAAGATGAGAGACATGAGACTGAACAATGCAGAAGAGTTGAAGGCCGCTATTGAAGCATCCTGGTCTTCCATAACACCTCAGCAGTGCCGCAGACTGATAGCTTTCATGCCACGCCGCATTGAGGCAGCAATTGCTGCAAAAGGGGTCCAAACCAAGTACTATGCATGCTTATACTTTTCAGAGGTCCGATATTGTTCTATGTACAATCCTTGTTTTATTGATTGCATGTAATATTCTAATTTTCTGAGATTGTGGATTTGGGTTTTCATGTAAGCCATAATCATCTCAATTATGACAAATCACGGCTTGAAATATCCTGCTTTGCATGTAATGAGTCTATCTCATATATTATTTTCATCTTTTAAGTTGCATTACTGAAATAAATGAACTTTTGCACGATATTCTAATTTTTTGAGTTTCACCTGTATAGAGTAGCTTTCTCTAGAGTCAGATGAAAACCATTGCCATCAAATATGCTACATGATAGATTTCAAAAGATTCCTAATTCTCAAGGATGTTTCCCCTGTAATCCTTAATTTGGGGTAGAGTTGGGGCAACTGGATGGAAATAGCCAAATTTTAACTATGGATATAAAAATAATGTCTTTACTAATAAATTAAGTTTTACATTTGTAAAAGTTTTGTGTTGTATCATGAACTTTTTTAACTGCAGTAATAGTTTATTTTATGCTAAATCTTTTGATTATGTCTGTATTTGAATCTTTCGTATATAATAAATATTACATTACATTCCATGAGTTTTAAAGTAATTGGGTAATTCCATTTTATGAGCGGTTTAATTCTCTAGCATGTGGGTAGATCTGAGCTTGGCCATGGGCTGGAAGTCATATTATGATATTTGCATATACCAAAATAGTATACCCTTGTTCTTATCTATTTTAGCAATGAGTCACTTAAATCAGTTCCCAAAACATAAAAACAGACATGAAAAGAATGTCTAATTATCAAACACTGTTATTAGACTACAGGGTTAACTGCAAAACATTTGAAGAAAGACATTTCTAAGGCATGCATACAGATGTATGTGGATGCACAACTAGGGATGGCTTTTGAAAGGCTGCTTGAGAACACAGAAGACATGACTACTTATGTTCTTCAAGAAGATAGATTTCATTTGAATTCTGTGCGGGGTAGGATAAAAGCAGAAAGAAAAAAAACTACAGGAGTAGTTAACATTGAAGCAAAAGCTTGACCCAAAATTCCTGTCTATTACTATTAGATGAAAACCCTTGTGAAGTTTGAATTAAAGAGAAAATATTAAGTATGACTAAAGTACACATGCAGAAATACTTTCTTTTGCACAAGAAGTTTTGTTTGTTTAAAGTTTTGCATTTTCCTTATCTTCCATATAAGCAGCCTGCAGCCATTAAATATTTACACTTTAATACATTACTGTAAAATGCAAAACAGGAGCAGGAAAAAACACAATTCACAGTGATAACTGGAAATATTTAAATTATTAGGAAACCAGTCAGTAAATACTGATTTAAATACAGAAAATCAAATAATATGCTCCTGGAAAAAAAGGGAAAGTGGTCCTTTAGACCTTTCAAGAAATTGTTAATATGGAAGTGCCTTGGGACTTCCATAGCCCCAGTCCAGTTAATCAAAAAGCAGAAAAGCATTTCCAACGGGAATTAAACTTTATAAAATTCTGCAAATGCAGATTTATAATTAATGTACAGCACATTTTCTTTACTTATCCTTGCTTCTTTATTTGGGCAGAGTTTTTAAAAATCCAGTATGAGTTACTATGGAATTCATTATTCATATCATAAATAGATTTGTACACAAGGCACAGTCATAAAAATCCAACATTAAAAAGTCACTGTACAAGGAAACAATTTAATAATCTCTTTTCTTGTAATGTAATTAAGCACAGAATTATATATAAACTATACTTTGTCTTTGATTACTGTATTGAAATAAGATATAACTTGGGAACCATAGAACATTTTTCATTTTTCAAATTGATAAAAATAAAAATTCATGTCATAGTAATGATTACCACTCAACCCTCTAGGGCAGTTTATTGCATCTTCTAGGGCAGTTTATTGCATCTTTGAAAGCAACTTATGGACTTCTCACAGGTTCAGAGAAATAAATGTATAAATAGTTAATTTGTACTGAGAAACAGATGCATACAATGTCCTCCGAACTTGTGTGGATATCAGAAATCCCAAAAGGAAAGAGATTTGGAGTTTATGATACAATCACTGTTTAATAAAGGAAAAAGACAGCTGTTTTTCCTGCACGTCACAAGATATGAACTCATGCACATCTTAAGCAATTACTGTCTGAAGTTCAGAATGGAAACAAATGGAGCAGAATAATTCTAAGGTAGCACAGGTATCAAATTCAATTACTTGACTTGTATGTTGTATAAAATGTTCTCCTCTTTTCATCAGCAGCATCTCAATTAATACTGCACATCACAGATTCTCCACTGAAGCACAAAACTGTAGTTTGCATCCAGCTTTTTCAATCTTTTTTGCAGAGAACAGAATGTCTTGCCTTCTGCTCACAAAAATTATCTGTGGCCCTAAAAAACAAAAACTCCTTCTTGGCAAAGAGACAAGATCTGTAGGTTTTGCAGGGATGGAAGCCCTTTTCAAAATGTTGAGTTACCATTAAAACAAAGTTTCCCAGAGTAGTTCTGTCTCCAGAAATAAAAACAAAAAAGGAATTGAACTATTTTGTCACTTATCATAAAATACTATATTTTGTGAGCTGAAAACCCAGCACCAAATGTTCCTCCCTTCTTCATGAAGCAGAATTCTTCCCTTTTCCTAGGCTAGGGCCCAGGCTTAATTGCTAGATTGTAGCCATTTTTTCAAGCAAGGAGAGTAGATTACAGTGCATACCATTTTACAACCAGTGCGGATCTAGAAGAGAGAGAGAGCTGTCAGCCATGGAGAACCAAGATGGGTCTCAGTCTCTTCGGGCTCCAAAATGTTCACGTTGTCGGAATCATGGCTTTGTGGTACCGGTCAAGGGTCATGCTGGTCACTGCAGGTGGAAGCAGTGCCCATGTGAGAAATGTTCTCTCATCACTGAACGCCAGAAGATCATGGCTGCGCAGAAGGCCTTAAAAAGACAAGGACCAGACTCACCACCTAGAGAGACCTTGCCTTCCACTCAGGGTAGGCCGAATGAAGAAGGGGCAGCCATTGCTAGCAGTAAGAAGGGCCTAAAAATGAATTCCTCAGAGCCTTCCACTCATGGGTCAGTTGTGCATGAAGGAATTAAAGTGACTTCAGCAGTTAGCTCCAGTACCAGAACAACAAATAATCCAACGCCACCTAAACCAAGCTCTCCAACCTTCATAGATTTAGGTATGTGTACCAGCCATAATTATTCAAACATTGATGATTAGCTATGTCTTTTCTGTTTATGAATTTAACTTTCTACTTGTCCTGAGCCTCAGCGATGTATGTATCCTGCTATGCCAATTTATTACGGTGATGATTTGGATTATTGTTTTTTTTTCCCCTATCCAAGGGTGGTATTACTTGGCTGTTTATTTATTTATTGCAGCTATCATATCCTGCTTGAAAGCTGCTCCACCATGCTTCATTGTTGCAAAACTAAATTTACACAGCCAGGATCTGTACTATAGGAGTCAAATGAATTGCAGCAGGCCCAACAAAACACTGACCTGCCAATCAAGCAAATATAAAAACAAAGAGCCTGGAATTAATATGATTTGTACTATGTTTTTACCACATTCCTTTCAGCAAAGGGAATATTTCAGTATTAATGAAAATAATTTGCTTGATTCAGTAGTGAGATTCAAATTTTTTTACTACCAGTTCTGTGGGTGTGGCTTGGTGAGCATGGCAGGCTACTGTAAAATCTCCAGTCAGAGGTAGTATTTGCCAGTTCTTCAAACTACTCAAAATTTCCACTGCTGGTTCTCCAGAACTGGTAAGAACCTGCTGAATACCACCTCTGGCTCGATTGCTTTTTGTATGAACAAAACAGAACAGACAAACCCTTGACTGCTGCCATCTTTTGTAACAATTTATTTTTGCATTGAATTGATATTGTGCAAGCTGTGTTTTGAAGACTTTAGAGATGCAGTTTATTTAAAGGAAGTTCCCTAATTTAAATTTCTCTGTAAAATTCAAATTGCAGTGGTTAGTTATTTTTAAATAAAATGGTTAAGATGTTAATCAACATCTTAAATACAGAAAAGGTTTAGAAAATATTATATTTGTGGAGTCCTCTGTGAGCTTGGTTGTTTTCTTGCAGATGTTTTCTTGCGCTGAAGATGTTAGTTTATTTGGGTAACGAAACATCTGCAAGAAAACAACCTCTCATTTAAACCAGAGCTGCAAATATTCTCCTCTAATATTATATTCAGCAAGCTGATAATGAACATTGAGTTAAATCAACAGGTTCAAAATTGTTTATCAAAAGTAAACCTGAAACATTGCAAGATGTTATACTTTCCTACTTATTCAGATTTTTTGTTACATTAAAAATAGCTTATCCTCCATTCTGCTCTCCTGCTGTTTTAATTGGGATCCATGTTGTGTTCTATTTATGAATATGGATTGCCATCTACTGGCTTGATATAACATTAAATAGTATTAAGATATCTTGTGATTTATTTTTGTTGCTTGATCTGATAACATTAAGTTTTCTACCTAAGAAAAAAAATGAATTTGTTTATTATGGTTCATTCTAATTCAAAGGGTCACTGAGTTATAGGTTTTTATTTATTGAAAAAATCAGAAGTTCCTTGTTTATATAGCATTTTTGTTATTATTGTTGCTTCCGCTTCCTAATTTTGATTTTTTTTGTTACCTTTTCCTTTTTATTAACTCTTTTTCTTTGTTTTGATATTTTACATTTTTATGAAAGTTTTGATTAAAAGAGGAGGAACAATTAATTGAATTAGTCCAAACTAGAAACAGTAAAATACAGTATCACATTTTATGTTAATATATCTCCTATTCACAAATAAATAAACATTGATTTAGTTTGAATACTGTGTAATGTATGTTTCTAGCCTCTGCTTCTCTGTGACCAACAAAGGTCTCTATGCGTACTTCCAATTGATACAAATCATGAGCAACAGCTCTGCTTTATCTTGCCATTTTAAGGTGTCTTGATGTAGGGCCTTTTACCTCTCAGTGGAACAATTATGTTTATAAAAGCACTTCTTGCATTTAAGCTGTCCACTCATTCTTCAATGTTCTCATGGATATAGCTGATAGGGCACCTAAAGAGTATCTTCTTGAAAGTTTAATTAGCCAAAATGCAACACTTTCTGGGTGTTAAAATGCCATACAGACCTTTATATGTTGCTGATACCAGCCAGTTTGGTCTAGTTGTTAAGATACCAAGCTAGAAAGCAAGAGGCCATGTGTTTAAGTCCTGCCTTGGCCATGAAAGCCTGCTGGGTGATTTTAGGCCATTGACTTCCAACTCACCCTGCTGGGAAAAATAAGAGGAAAATGTGTGTTGGATATATTCCCCCCTTGAGATATTTGTTAAAAACGTTATAGGCAGGATACAAACAAACAAATAAATACTGCTAACCCATTTAATTCAGTCACCATCCATTTAATCTAACTTTTATTTTTAATAGACCATCCCAATTTGCCTCAAGAATGTATTGCTGTATGTCCAGAATTTGGGGAGAGGGACCCTCCCAAAATGTATCCTGGTTACTCTGGGATGTATCCTTATCCATTTTCAATGGGATTCACTATTAATCAACCAGCTTACAGAAGTCCATCTCCTGCACCTGTTTTGCCTCTGCAAACAAGTTTCAGACACTTTTCCAGCAATCACGGACCAGGTAGTGTTCCTGCTTCTATACCAGTAAGTATAGTTTTCTCCAAACATGGTTTAATACAACTCACAGAAGCATAACACCCTCAGATGTCTTTTGCAGTTAGCCATTGGTGTAATAATTTTGAATTGGTGGCATATTTCGAATTTTGATTATCTTGATTGTACAGTGGTAAAATGGTTATCGTGTGAGGAACAGTCAGTCACAAAGCACCAGAAACCAAACCAGTAGTATTACTGCCCCTTTCTATCTACTCTCCCATGGGAACATTTTTTTTTTTAATCAGATAGTCACATGTCCACATAAAGCAGCACCTGGCTGCATGTATTTCCAAAAATGCATCTGAGCTCAGTTTTTGGCAATAAAATGGATGATAGCGCCTGGCACTATGCTTTTCAGCATATTCACATTCCTTTATTTTTTTAAAATTAAAGAATGATAAAAGTGCCAAGGGATATGTCTGAAGAAAGATTCCCACACCTGGTTGCCATACTGGAAACCCAGTAAGTTTGGATAGTATGCAGACAAGATTGACGAATCATGAATATCTGCTAGGGCTGTACACTAATTTAAATTCTGTTGAGCTCTATTGTAGTTATGTTAATAGAATTTCCGAGAAAATCTCAGGTGTTCTACTTTTAGAATTGTCCATTTAAATTGGCTGCACATTGGTATGTCCACATCTGTCAATAGAACATTGCTTTGGATGCACAGATGATGATTTACTCCATTATAATGCCTGGTTTAGAGCCCACCTAGTGATGAATCACAGTTACCGCTGGATTGGTCAGTTAATATAAAAGTATGGGGGAAAGGACTGAAAGTAGGTGGTTCTATAATGTCTGAATCAGAAACAGTACTTCTTACACAATGAACCTGCAAAATTTCTATAAAATGAATTCCCTCCCATGTTTCTTCCTAGTACTTAATTACAGAAATGCAAGCAAAGACATAGCAGCTAATAGTACTAGCCCAAACTGTAAAGGTAAAACCATTTTGTTTCCTCTATATATGTCAGAAAAATATTTTTGAAAAAATAGCTATCTTTTTTAAAATTAGGAATGGACTAATTACAATTTAGGAATAATTTTAAAAGTGGCAAACATACAATGTTGTCTTCTTTATTTGAAAAACATAGTATTGAAGTGTTATTTAGCTCTTTTAAATATGGATTGTTAACTATCCAATGCCATTGCTAATGTAACTGTTGCTGCTGGAGCTTAGTATCATTTATTTACCATTTGGTATGGGGATTTGGATTTCTTTTAAATGGTTGTAGGAAGTAAATGTAAAATTTGAAAATATTTTCATTTTCTTTCCAATGATAAAAATAAACCTAATAAAATTATGTATGATAAATAAAGTTAGGTTTCTGTCAGACTGACTTCCATTTTAATTGCTTTCTGGAAGCAGCTGAAAACTAAGCTCTTCTGAAGGAAACTTGGCATGTGATGCCACTGTGGCTAGGATACACACACACATACAGTATAATATTTTAATGTTTAATCTGATTGTGGCTATTTTAATTGTAATTGTGTAGTTCGTCAGCAAGATGTAGATTATATGCACTGTGTGTGTGTGTCTATGTGTGCATACAGAGATGATAGACAGAAAGACAGACAGATAGATGACAGATAGATGATAGAGATAGGTAGGTAGATAGATAGATAGATAGATAGATAGATAGATAGATAGATAGATAGAT